TGCATTGTTAGAACGACATTTCGGTCGACTATTTGTAAATTGTGAATAAACTTTGATACCTAAATTGGAGTTTGGTTCTATTGTTAATTTGGGTTCGTAAATTGTAAATAGATCAATATACCGCACTTCAATAACGGAAACGAGCAAAACCTTGGACATAACACAAAGTTTTTCAATTATTGGTTCTGTGTTCATACATTGGATTTGTCTGGACATTTTGAGTCCAATTTCCTGGTCTTATTGGTCGATTTCGTTTGGATTAATTAATATTTGTTTTGGTAACCGATTCTTTGTAACCAAGGCATACGATGGAAACGCGAAGCAAAAGACTGAAAGAAAATGACGAGATGGAATGTAAAATTTCTAAAGCTGTTTGTGGCATGTCTGATGTTAGTGATGATAAAAGTGATATTAGTATTAATAGTATGTCCTCTGATCAGCTTAGTACTTCTAGATTAAAGTTAGATAAGGCGTTACCAAGGAAGGAGAAGTTAGAAAAGAGACTTGAGTTAAAAAGGCAGCTTAAGATGTTAGATCTTCAAGAAGAGATTGATATGACAATCAGAATGTAAGATCATGGAGGACGATAACCAACTGTCTATAGACAAGTATGAGACAATTGCTTAGGTGGAAAGTCATTTGCATTGTGATATCAGCTGGAATAATCATTCAAGGGGGATATTTAACATCTCAGAAGGCGACTAAGCTATGTAATGAATTCATAACATTAAAGGAAATGGAGTACATGTCTGATGTGAATTCTACGGCTAAGGTGGAAACAGCAGTGTCATGTCTACCCTTAGAATTACAGAATAAGTGGGTGGAAGTTGCCGATAAGATCATGATGACCGGGAGGGAGCCGAGCTTTGAAGAATTTGTGATCTTTGTAGAGGAAAGAGCCAGGATTTCTCGAACACGTTTTGGTAGATTGGTACATTGTAACTCAAAGTTCTGTGAAAGTGATTATGAAGGCCAAGTTGGTAAGAGATCACACTTTAATGTAGTTAAGCGAGAATCAAACAACTCACTCGAGGCTCTAGGTTGCGAAATTTGCTTAGGTGATCACAAAGAGACAGATTGTATGAAGTTATTGAAAATGAATGTTACAGAAAGGAGACGTGGTCTATGTTACCTGTGTTTAAGAAAGGATCACGTAGCCAAGTCATGCAACACGGACGTCAAGTGTGACGTTGATAATTGGGAAATTCGGTATAATTCATTGCTACATATTGACGGTATTAATAACCATGTAGTGAACTTAGTTGAGGATTGGAACTCGTCGAAGGTTTGTTTGAGTATCATTCCGGTCAGATTGTATGGTCCGAAGAGAAATTTGGAAACTTGCGCCCTTCTAGATAGTGGTTCAAATAGTTCCCTCGTATACGGAGAGTTATTTAATTAGTTGGGTCTCAAGGGTAAGAAGGCTTCGATGACGATAACCATTGTGAATGGAACGACTACGTGTAGATGTTTGGAAGTAAATTTAGAGGTATCTTTTTTGGAAGAGCAGTGTTCTACGAAAATCAACAAGGTTTATAAGACTAAGAAGTTTCCGATAGATTGTGTAGAACCTTTAACCGAGGAACAGATGGGATGCTGGAAGCATTTGAAGGACATCACTCTTTCGATGTTCCGAAGTAATCCGGTATGAGTGTTGATTTGATGTGATACTCAAGACGCATATTAGGTCCTGGAACAACGTCTGGGAGACAAGGAACATCCGTTTGGTGTGCGTACGCCTCTCGGTTGGATGGTTTTAAGTCCCAAGGGAGCATATAGGTCGGTACATTCACTACAGCGTTGTCATTCTCATGATTTTTCACCGGATCTAGAAAGATTATGTAGTTATGAGTTCGAGGATACAGACCATATTGATAAACATGGCTCACTTGAATCAAAGGTTTCTGTAACAGTAGAACTAAACGAAGAAACGTGTTTGAAAAATTCGCTTAATAAATGGCAATACAATATTAGTGTTGATGGGTATCGAAATGAATCTTACGGAAAAGTGGTTGACAGTTCGTTTGTATTTACAAGAGATTTGATGTTTATATTAGAGTTACGTGACAAAATTATCAAGCAGTGGTTCATACGATTTAATTTGTAGCTAATGACCACGGGAAAAAGGGTTTTATGTTCTGCGGACTCAAATAGTTGTTTGTGTGTGAATCTGCAATTGTGCCTGAAGTCATGTATTATGGCTACTCATTTTCTTAAAAAACTCGAAGAGTCAAGCAGTGTTGCGATTTTGAATCAGAATAAAGAGTTCGTGGTAAACAAAAGAATTAGTGGCTTGATGCTTTATTTGGGTCTACATATTCATGTTTACGTTACCTTATATGAGCTTCTATGGAGGATGGAGCATTTGGTTAAGTGTTTGATATTGCAGTCGTTTATGTTGAAGACTCTGATATCAAGGTTTTCCAAGGAATACCGTGTCTTGGAAAGTATTGAAATGGGTAAGGAATTAAATGAGATGTCTTTACAGATGGGATTACTTAGGCTTGAGGTGTTGCGTTGAATATTCTTAGACCTGATTCTAAATGTCTATAAATCGTCAGTCGCATGACATAAAACCACTGAGTGGATAATTCGGAAGTGAAGTATCTCCTTGAATCAGTCAGTTGTTCAGTAACAACGTGGAACTTCGTACGTACGTACATCAGTCACAGTTGCCATACCACATTAGCACAGATATGCGGTTGTCGATTCAAATCCTATAGTATTAGAGGTAGTAAAAGTATAAGCAGTAATCGGGAAGATTAGGGTTTGGAGATGTTACTTAAATAGTATAATCCAGTGAAATAAATTTGGGAAATGAAAAAAAGAGATAAGGAGGAATCAGGACATTTAAATTTGGAAGAACAAAAAGAGTGTATGCACCTGCGCCATTGCAAACGATTTTGAGCCATGTCATTCAGGGTCTCTAACCATCGGTTGCTATCATCTCGCGGTCACCAACCAGGTAGTCTACACCTACGACACGACTCAGACCACTTATCAGTGATTTCATGTACTTGTGCCATGTTTCGGTCTGGCCGCCACTAGCTTTCTTCCAACTTACTCCTACCTCACAGAACATCGCACGTTGAGGCAGTCGGTAATTGGGCATACGTAACACGTGTCCCAGCCATCTCAACTGATGAAGTTTCACTACTTCATCAATTGATTTTCCATCCTTACCTAGTACCCGTTTCCTAACAACTGCGTTACTTACTCGATGGTCCCATGATATACGAGCAATTTTTCGAAGACACCTATGATCAAATACTAGTAGCCTACGGATATCCTCTACTCTTACCGGCCATGTTTCACTGCCATAAAGCAGGACGAAACGATCTGCTGCGCAGTAAACACGTCCTTTGGTTGATAGACGGATATTTCGCCTACGCCATAAATGACGCAAGTTGGTAAAGGCTAGTCGAGCCTTCTGTATCCATGCCGAGATTTCGTCACACACCAGACCACAAGGGCTGATGTGACCTCCAGTATAAGTGAAGCGATCGACACGCTCAAATACTTCACTCCCTATCATTAGTTCGGGTGTCGATGCAACCCAATCTTTAAGCAATCAACAACAAACATTCAATATACCAACAATCTCGTGATCCCTAGGACTTACACCAGTACGCCTAGGGATCCGGGTAGCTATCTAACATATTCAGCTTCAAGACACAGTTTCGCAATATCTCTTACTAATATTCCTTGGCTTGTCCTCAACTCCATCGGTCTTAATCTATCGTTACTAGGTATCAATTTCTTTACCAGACTTGAAGGCCATTTGTCTCTCTCCAAAAAATCGGAACATGTCGTCACCAAGTTAATTTCTCTTAGGTTCCTCTCTGGTCTAGTCCACTTGTGTCTACGTTGCCACAGGGAAACATATTCCTTAGATAAACGTCTTCAAAATATTTGTGCCAAATAATTCTTTTCCTTACATCTCACAGAATACCTGTCGTTAGGTCGAGCATCGCAGAGCCCTGTTACGTTCTCTCTCAACAGTAAAAGCCAAAACTCTTTTCGGACTGCTGTCATCGTCTGTGTAGTAGCATCTCTTATCATCTGATACTACTCAAAAACCGAATTCATAATCCATAATACGATGCTTTCTTAACTTAGGCCAAGAACTGTTTCGAAGTTGACCACCAAAACATAATAATCCGCGTACCACAAAACGATCAAACATTCGTAAAGAAAAGTTCATCTTCCCCTTGACATTTTACTGTAGGCGATAAACGCATTCTAAATTATTCAAATACTATGATTATAGCATTTAGAATCAGGTCTAAGAATATTCAGCGCAACACCTCAAGCCTAAGTAATCCCATCTGTAAAGACATCTCATTTAATTCCTTACCCATTTCAATACTTTCCAAGACACGGTATTCCTTGGAAAACCTTGATATCAGAGTCTTCAACATAAACGACTGCAATATCAAACACTTAACCAAATGCTCCATCCTCCATAGAAGCTCATATAAGGTAACGTAAACATGAATATGTAGACCCAAATAAAGCATCAAGCCACTAATTCTTTTGTTTACCACGAACTCTTTATTCTGATTCAAAATCGCAACACTGCTTGACTCTTCGAGTTTTTTAAGAAAATGAGTAGCCATAATACATGACTTCAGGCACAATTGCAGATTCACACACAAACAACTATTTGAGTCCGCAGAACATAAAACCCTTTTTCCCGTGGTCATTAGCTACAAATTAAATCGTATGAACCACTGCTTGATAATTTTGTCACGTAACTCTAATATAAACATCAAATCTCTTGTAAATACAAACGAACTGTCAACCACTTTTCCGTAAGATTCATTTCGATACCCATCAACACTAATATTGTATTGCCATTTATTAAGCGAATTTTTCAAACACGTTTCTTCGTTTAGTTCTACTGTTACAGAAACCTTTGATTCAAGTGAGCCATGTTTATCAATATGGTCTGTATCCTCGAACTCATAACTACATAATCTTTCTAGATCCGGTGAAAAATCATGAGAATGACAACGCTGTAGTGAATGTACCGACCTATATGCTCCCTTGGGACTTAAAACCATCCAACCGAGAGGCGTACGCACACCAAACGGATGTTCCTTGTCTCCCAGACGTTGTTCCAGGACCTAATATGCGTCTTGAGTATCACATCAAATCAACACTCATACCGGATTACTTCGGAACATCGAAAGAGTGATGTCCTTCAAATGCTTCCAGCATCCCATCTGTTCCTCGGTTAAAGGTTCTACACAATCTATCGGAAACTTCTTAGTCTTATAAACCTTGTTGATTTTCGTAGAACACTGCTCTTCCAAAAAAGATACCTCTAAATTTACTTCCAAACATCTACACGTAGTCGTTCCATTCACAATGGTTATCGTCATCGAAGCCTTCTTACCCTTGAGACCCAACTAATTAAATAACTCTCCGTATACGAGGGAACTATTTGAACCACTATCTAGAAGGGCGCAAGTTTCCAAATTTCTCTTCGGACCATACAATCTGACCGGAATGATACTCAAACAAACCTTCGACGAGTTCCAATCCTCAACTAAGTTCACTACATGGTTATTAATACCGTCAATATGTAGCAATGAATTATACCGAATTTCCCAATTATCAACGTCACACTTGACGTCCGTGTTGCATGACTTGGCTACGTGATCCTTTCTTAAACACAGGTAACATAGACCACGTCTCCTTTCTGTAACATTCATTTTCAATAACTTCATACAATCTGTCTCTTTGTGATCACCTAAGCAAATTTCGCAACCTAGAGCCTCGAGTGAGTTGTTTGATTCTCGCTTAACTACATTAAAGTGTGATCTCTTACCAACTTGGCCTTCATAATCACTTTCACAGAACTTTGAGTTACAATGTACCAATCTACCAAAACGTGTTCGAGAAATCCTGGCTCTTTCCTCTACAAAGATCACAAATTCTTCAAAGCTCGGCTCCCTCCCGGTCATCATGATCTTATCGGCAACTTCCACCCACTTATTCTGTAATTCTAAGGGTAGACATGACACTGCTGTTTCCACCTTAGCCGTAGAATTCACATCAGACATGTACTCCATTTCCTTTAATGTTATGAATTCATTACATAGCTTAGTCGCCTTCTGAGATGTTAAATATCCCCCTTGAATGATTATTCCAGCTGATATCACAATGCAAATGACTTTCCACCTAAGCAATTGTCTCATACTTGTCTATAGACAGTTGGTTATCGTCCTCCATGATCTTACATTCTGATTGTCATATCAATCTCTTCTTGAAGATCTAACATCTTAAGCTGCCTTTTTAACTCAAGTCTCTTTTCTAACTTCTCCTTCCTTGGTAACGCCTTATCTAACTTTAATCTAGAAGTACTAAGCTGATCAGAGGACATACTATTAATACTAATATCACTTTTATCATCACTAACATCAGACATGCCACAAACAGCTTTAGAAATTTTACATTCCATCTCGTCATTTTCTTTCAGTCTTTTGCTTCGCGTTTCCATCGTATGCCTTGGTTACAAAGAATCGGTTACCAAAACAAATATTAATTAATCCAAACGAAATCGACCAATAAGACCAGGAAATTGGACCCAAAATGTCCAGACAAATCCAATGTATGAACACAGAACCAATAATTGAAAAACTTTGTGTTATGTCCAAGGTTTTGCTCGTTTCCGTTATTGAAGTGCGGTATATTGATCTATTTACAATTTACGAACCCAAATTAACAATAGAACCAAACTCCAATTTAGGTATCAAAGTTTATTCACAATTTACAAATAGTCGACCGAAATGTCGTTCTAACAATGCACAATACTCTACCTTTACATCGAGAAGGAAAAGTTTGTGATATATATATTCATTTGTGGGAAACTGTTACAAACCCAAGGAATTGAAAATGCCACGGGTTTTTGGATTTCGACAACGCTTTAACGAGTGACATTCTACTATGAATCGTACCCACTAAGTGAAATCAAAATACAGAAGCGAGGAGGTTCGAAGGTATATTTGATAGGCTATCAATGTAACGAGGATAGACTGACCTAGGCTGGCTAGCGATTGCAGGGGAGTTTGAGCACGGCGTTCCCACTCTTGATCTGATGCGGATGCATGACCGAACCCCGCTCAGCCAGGTGAGTCCATTGAAACTAATGTGGTCAGCATCCAATGTCGAAGACTTACAGAACTATTTATTTTGGGGATCTTTTTACCGCTACAGAATCATGAACGTGGCTTTCAGATCACCCCTTACTCTTCTGTAACCTAAGGAGAATAATTCTTAGTGATGGAGTAAGTGCCCACAACATTTGCTCTTTAATATCATATCCTTCTGCCTTGTACATCATTCCACGTGTCCCTAAAAATTTCACGCATGATATCAGGAAAAGAAGAGAAAAGAAGTTGTGGAATTTCTAAACGTTTGTCAGTGGAATCTCACTTTAACACCAAGAAACGAGGGCATGGAAAATGTTCGGTTTGCACTTGCTCGTCAAAAGTACATGGGTATTGATAATGTTGGACAAAAGGCGCACAAACAACTAAGCCAATCAAAACGCAGTTCACCTTTCAACTATGTTATTTAACTACCATCAGCTTGCAGTTAGTCTCCTCAGCCTGCAGTTGGTGTATATTGTGCGATGCCTGGTAAGTCCGGTTTGGAAGTTTAGCTTTAACATGAAAAATGTTGTGTTTCTCCATGTAAATGTATAGGATTTCAGGCAAGGCAGATATAGTACTCTAAATGTTCCAAAGTTTGTTCCATTTGAAATACTCAGAACTAGTTAGCTTGTAGTATTGTGCACAATTTTGCTTAGTTTCAGTTTCGTACATAGAAAAAGTGTTATAATGTTTGCGTTTCACGGCACACAACATATATATATATATATATGTCAAAAGGATAAAGTAATGAAGTCAAGTATAGGCGAGAAGTGGGTAATTCGACGATCACTAAGATGTCACCTCACAGATCTTACGATTGACGAACTGCATTTTTTCATGTCTGATTATTTTCCCAGCACACGCCTATAAGCAAAAAAGATTACTTTTATTTGTTCTGTCCCCTGAATTAACCAAATCTTAGCCATTGCCGCTTGTATATTCCTCGAATCGCTTCTATTTCCCCATTCTTATTTAATTGGGAGGTCTTGTTCTACGTTTCTGTCTGTCACTCGTCCATATATTTATGTCTACTTCCCGTATATATCGTTTACCGAGGAATAGATATATGGAGTAATGCTCCTTAGATCGGTTAAGTAGTAGAAAAGCGAAAAGTTGCTTCCAAAACATGCTAATTCTTGGATTTTGTGATACCACTGAGTTTACAACTTGTTTTGCTTAGTAACATTCTCTAAGAACTTTATTTGTCAATGTATATTTCAGATTGGTTTGTAATCCAAAAACAAGCTTAAATGAGCCTCACATCACAAAAGGAGGGAGGGTGGGGTTTCTGACCAGCAAGCAATAAAGCTGAGTGTGATTACTTCAATCCACTTATGTTTGTGGAGCAGAACATTTTGTATGTATCAAGCTCTTTATGATTGGGAATAGGTCAATCAATCTGTGATATAGATCGTGTTCCTACGTTCATCACTCAGACTCATGTTTCCAATTTTACGCTGGATTAGATATTCTACTAAGACAACCAATAACATGCTAACTCGGACTTTTACATTAAGACTGTGCGGCAGGCATTGGATGAAAAAAATCAGACAATAAAAGACATAGTTATTAGTTTTCTTAACACTTTACTCTCTATATGCACTTTCTGTTCTAATAAATAGCCTTCCTTATTCCAACCTTGACTTCCCTTTGCTCGTAGTTATTTACTTTTATCAAGAGGAAGGGATTGGTATAATGAAAAAATTACTATTATAACCAAATGTATCATTGGTTGTTTCACTGTGCTTGTTTGTTTAACTGTACTAAAAACATACATTCTTTTGTTGATTTCGACCTTGCACAACCTTGCGTTTGCTCAGTAGTTCCACTTGTACTCCTTTGGCACTATCTCGGTATTATTTCGATACCACAAGATCCCCAACAAATACATCTCGACTACAGCCATCAACTGCCTTCTGATATTTGGCCTACGAGGGATCATATCGGTTAACTGGCACGTAGTCTTCCTGTAGTGTTGATCATATTCAACTGTAACTTGACGCCAAACTACACTTATTTGAACTTACTCCAACTTGTAAAAATATCACAACTCATTATTTCTTATTACTCCATTCTCTTATCTGGAGCCTTTGATCACATTTCACTCTAGCAACTAGAGGTACTATGAATTTTATCTAATAATTTATCACATCTCTGTCTGTTCCACTACCAAATGTTAAGTATTGTTTATAGTCCATATCCAAGTGGCTTGTTGCCCCTTGGTTTCTCTCAGAATCTTGCTCTAAGGGCTCAGCTGTGGGACTTCTGATGTCTGGAGAAAACTTGACGTTCGCGTTTTCCCAAGTTCATAGTTCACACCAAGTGCTCTACAAGTCTACTTTATAACAAGTATAAACTTAAAACGTTGCATTGCATAAATACTTACTTACGCCTGTTACTCCTAATGGAGCATAGGTCGCCGACCAGCGTTCTTCAACCCAGTCTGTCCTGGGCCTTCTTTTCTAGTTCCATCCAGTTCTTGTCCATTTCTCTCATGTCCATTTCCATTTCTCGGCGTAATGTGTTCTTTGGTCTTCCTCTTTTCCTTTGGCCTTGAGGATTCCATGTCAGGGCTTGACTCGTGACGCAGTTGGGTGCTTTCCTCAATGTGTGTCCTATCCACTTCTAGCGCTTCTTCCTGATTTCTTCCTCCGCTGGGATCGGGTTTTTTCTCTCCCACAGTACGTTGTTACTAACAGTGTCCGGCCAATGGATCCGAAGTATTTTTCGTAGACAATTGTCACCAAACACCTGTATTTTCTGCATGATGGCTTTCGTAGTTCTCCAGGTTTCTGCTCCATACAGTAGAACTGTCTTGATATTTGCATTGAAAATCCTGACCTTGGTGTTGGTTGACAGTTGCTTTGAGCTCCAGATGTCCCTCAGTTGTAAATATGCTGCTCTTGCTTTGCCGATCCGCGTTTTCACAACTGCATCAGATCCACCCTGTTTATCAATGATGCTGCCCGAAGATGTAAAGGTTTTTACATCTTCCAAATCTTCTCCGTCAATTGTAATTGGATTGGTGCATTCTGTGTTGTATCGGAGAATCTTGCTTTTCCCTTTGTGTATATTGAGACCTACTGCTGCTGAGGCTGCTGCTACACTGTTCGTCTTCTCCTGCACCTGTTGTTGCGTTTGGGGTAGAAGGGCCAGATCATTTGCGAAGTCTAGATCGTCCAACTGCATCCTGGATATCCATTGTATCCCGTGTTTCACTTCAGATGTTGTCTTCATGATCCAGTCGATCACCAGGAGAAAGAGAAAGGGAGAGAGTAAGCAATCTTGCCTAACACCGGTCTTCACTTTGAACGACTTTGTCAATTGTCCTCCATGCACGATTTTGCAGTGTAATCCATCATATGAACTCTGTATGATATTGACTGTCTTCTGAGGCACGCCGTAGTGTCGAAGAAGATTCCATAGTGTTGTTCAGTCCATTATGTCAAATGCCTTTTCGTAGTCAATGAAGTTGATGTAGAGTGATGAATTCCATTCAATTGATTGTTCCACAATGATCTGTAGAGTTGCGATTTGGTCTGTACACGATCTATCCTTACGGAATCCTGCCTGTTGGTCACGAAGTTGGGCGTCTACGGAGTCCTTCATTCTGTCATACAATACCCTGTTGAATGCCTTACCTGGTATTGAGAGAAGAGTGATGCCCCTGTAGTTATCACACTTGCTGAGATCGCCTTTCTTCGGTATTTTGATCAGAAGTCCTTCTTTCCAGTCTTTTGGTACTTGTTCCTCATCCCAAATCTTATTAAAGAGAATGTGGAGTATCCTTGCAGTTGCCTCTACGTCTGCTTTTAGTGCCTCTGCTGGAATGTTGTCTGGTCCCACTGCTTTGCCACTCTTGATTTGTCTGATGGCCATGCTGATTTCTTCAATTGTTGGTGGGCCAACATCGATTGGGAGGTCCGTGTGTGCTGCTTCGATGTTGGGTGGGTTCAGTGGAGCTGGTCGATTCAAGAGTTCTTTGAAGTGTTCTACCCACCTGTTTTGTTGCTCTTCAATGTTGGTGATTACCTCGCCTTCCTTGCTTTTCACTGGTCGTTTTGGTTTACGGTGATTTCCAGAGAGTTTCTGTGTCGTGTCATACAGTTGTCTCATGTTTCCTTCTCTTGCAGCCATTTCCGCCGTCGTTGCTAAATCTTCCATATATTTACGTTTGTCGGTTCTGATGCTCCTCTTCACTTGTTTGTTTAC